GCCATCATTGGCATCCATTCGCCCTTCGTCACATCTGTCACTGTCTCTTTCTGCATCTCCGGTGCATGAACTTGGAAGGGGCGGAGATGATGCGCAGGATGAACTCCAAGCAGAAAACACTGTCGAAGCAGGTTTCCACCACTGCCACCTGGGTCGTGGACCACAGTTGACATGAGTAGACAAATAGAAGCGGAGTAAGAAAATGTCTGGAAGCTGTCATTGATTCGCCAAATAGAACACAGCAAATGCTTGCAAATAGAACACCAAATAGAACACAACACGCCAAATAACACTACTTTAGTTTATCTTTTTGGGGTACTGTGAAGAAAACACAAAAACGTGCAGGCAGCTCAGGACGCAAGGGCATCAAGCCCATCACATCAAAATCCAGGTTACAGGCTCAAGTTCAAGTAAACGAACCTAATTCAATGCCACCAATTGAGTATCAACATTTATATCTGTCCACCACCTACCTGCTCCACATCTGGCTAAACCGCCAGCGATCCAAAACAGCTCTTTACTAGGGGGCTCTAACCCTGGCACAGAACTTCACTCATCCGTTTCACCCCAGAAACCCCTCGCAACCGCTCTAACCCGAGGCTCTGTCAACGGATCCAGCACCTCTTCTTCCGTGGCCTTCAAGGTGCCAAAAATGATCGTGAAGACCACCAGGCAGCTCTGCGCCTGGCCGCTCGGCGCCCACCCAGTGACTGGGGATTCCCGGTGGCCGGGGAACCCGTCACTCCAAACGACGAAGAACTGAAGGATGGGTCAATTGGCATAGAGATACTCGTAGAGGTATATATAAACAATTCTATAACAGTCTATATCATTCTATATGTGTTTTCTTTGTAGTGTGCTCGTCTTAAGCTGTCATAGGTCATATACATAAGGTCGCCATTGGGTAATGAATGAAGCTTTGGCCTGAGTCAAGTGAGGCTTGATAAATCATCTCATCCCTGGGTGAACAAAGAAGCACAAACTGGAGGTGGACTGGACGGCTCACATCGAGTTTCGGCGAAAGCAGTAGCGCCCCTGTCCTCGTCAAATTTGGGATCCATCAGAACTGAGTGTAGCTCTCAAACTAAATTGCGCTTGGAATCCAAGCAGGGTGTAATCATTCCTTGCTGCAACCGAGCAAAAAGTGAGATGTATCTCTGGAGCATATCAGGCGTGGCAACTGGTGGTTGGTCATGATTGGGTATATCCTATGCCTGTAACAGTGGATGATGGTTGGTAAAGGAAGGTTACAGGTAATGGGACGCCACCAAGGTATCAATTCAACATTTCCCTTGCGCACTTGTCCAAGCTCTAGAGCAGTGTGCCACACAACCCACTCGTGACTGCCCACGCCTGTGAGAGCCACCATGCTGTTTTGGAGGAGTTGGGGTCATCCAAGGTCTCCCAAATGTAGTCCAGCCGCGTGCGCCGGACCACCCGCAACACCGACTTCTTACCCTGGCAATGCTCCTGACAGCTGGTCAAACGCAAAGTCTGGTACATATATATATATAGGGACATAGCGATTTGGAAGGGCGGAGGGAAGGGCACCTGGGTGGCTGGCTGGGTGGGAGAACATGACATGACGTCCACACTCCATGGTTTTTCGTGAGCAAACCTATTGACATTCACGTGAGGGCCAAAACACCAAGAAGCAGAATAGAATGCACACATGGCAATATGCACTCCAGCTAACATGGCCTATAACTCGGCCTATATCATATAGAACTTGAGGTTGGCCCAACATCATTTATGTATGTACCTTATTCTTATTGATCAAAGTGACATTCAAAAGCCGTTCGCGAACGATCTATCAAGTCAAACGGGACAAAACAGAATTTGCACAAACAGCTCCAATCAGCTTCAACACGGCATCCATATCCTTTGCTTTGTTGTGTCCCCATATTGACCGACCCAGCATCATGACATGGTTTGGCTCAAACAAGTGCCACACCCCCAGTCAGTCATTGGCACAAGATGGTGCAAGGGAGAAAGCAAGGTCCAAACTCTCTGCTTTGCCGTGGGCAGCATGTGATGGAGAGTGGATGGCACAATCCCCCAAAAGGTGGTTTATATGGACCCCCATCTAGAATCCATGGCGGGGTTTGTGCCATTACTCTGAAAAGGTATCGGTTGACCAGGAAGTCTGGACACCACAGGACCCACGTTGTGGATGCGTCGGACCCGCAACGCAGGACCCGGATGTGTCCTGAAAGGATGCCTCGGAGCCTCTTTGAGAGACCAGCTCCAGGTCAGCCAGTTCGTTGGAAATATTGCTCGCATAGGACTTGTAGGCCTGCGCGCGCAGCGCAGAGTTTTTGTCCGCCAAAGATGCAGGACTCTGGGGATCCCCTCCAACAATAGGCCTGAGTAGGGCGCCCATTAAGATATGATAGCCGCGTGGTAGGCCCATGTCTTCCTCTGAAAGAGAATGGAGAATGGAGTGTCCTGATGGAGGGTGCCTCCACGACTCAGCGGGCGGTGAGATGTGGTGAGATGGATGGAGTAGGCATCCAGGTCACCCAGAACCTAACAATGTAGACTCTTGATGACCCCCCCAATATGAAGAGGTTTGACCATCCATGTCTGGCAGGCGATCAATCAACAGTCCACAGTAAGCGCAGTAAGGGATGCTGACTCTTCGCTCGCCTGTTGCAGGTCAATGTTTTTCATCGTGATGCGTCCAGCTGTGGGAGATCCATGCTCGTGATGCTCTTGCGAGGCCGAGGAGAATCGGCTGGTCCTTTGACTGTGACCTGGCATCAGGAAGGGGTCCTCCACAATGACCGACCAGCCAGAAAGACAGGTCGACCACGGTTTTAGGACGTTTGTGGTTCCATGAGTGTTATATACATGCCGCTGCTTCCAGAGAACCAGGTACGAGTAGATCCTTCAACTGAACACCTGAGGGTGGGGTTCCAAGAATCGACAGACTCCACTTCTGACCGCTCAGCCTGGCATCGACTCGTCCGATCCGCGGAGCGCTTCTGAGCTTCTGATAGCTTCGACTCCAAAGGGTTGTGCAGCAACAGAAACATCGACGTCTTGCGAACGGAGAAACTCCCTCCCGGAACCTGTTGATCTCTCCTTTTGTTCTTGAAAAAAGACCACGCGCCTGTCTCATCCGAGGTCTGCTTCTGCAAACGTGAGGCCGGTAACATGGGGATCGAGCCACGTGTTCCGAGCTGGTTGCGGCTCATTGCCTTCACCTAAGGCGGTTGGTTCGAGGCAAAGACATCAACAAAAACGGGTGATCGAATTGGGTGAGACCGTGATACCCATGCGTGGGCCTCTTGGTCTGTGGAGACCCAGGAGCTATATTGGATCTCTCACTGATACCCATGTGGATCACAGTAAATAACATCATGGGTGTTAGAAAATTCAGAACCAAACGATGTACTAGGTGATGAGTCCTCACCCAAACATGGATCGAAATGGGCAAAAGAAAACAATGTCTGGATTGTTCTTTTGGTTGTGTGTAGTTTTTCATTAGGGAGGTCACTAACCAATGGGGTTTTGGATCTATTTTCTTCCAGGGATCCTTGGGGGGTCTCCCTATGTTAATGCACACTCACATTGGCGTTAGAATAATAAGAACATCACCCAACCTTCCACCAAATTGTGGGATGGCCATCCACAGGGCAAAAACATACGTTATTGTTCTCTATTGTTCTATTTTCTATGGGTAGCTAGTAAGCTAATGTAGACTCTTGATCAAAAAGGCGTACACCCGTTTGGATTGTAAAGCCTCTTCACATGTGGGGTTTATTCATCAAGAGTCTACACTTCCAAATGGCTTGGAAAATCGTGGTCTCGTCACTTCCTCCAAGCACTGGTCCATCTTGATGGACAGCTGATCCAAGCGTGCCTCGATGCTCATGTGTTCCGCTTCCATGCCTCCCTTGGACGTACCGTCCATCGTTGGAGACCGGACGCGGTATTTCGCGCCACCGGTGGACCAGGCGTGGTGCAAAAAAAGGTGACTTGGGCCAAGCTGAAAGACCAGGCGAAAAAGTGTGAAGACCAGCTAGTGCAAAAAGGACTTTGTTGTCTTAGATCTGTGAAGTTGGACGTGTTCTTGAAACGTATTATCATGATGATCATCATCAGCACTGATCACTGATCACATCTGATCACCAATCACGGTCGGTGTCAGCTTGGCAGCATGGGACGGAAATCAGCGCCGCTAGAATAGTCTGACATCCCAGAAGAACACTATCTTCAACGTAAACTCATGTCCAAAACCTGAACCTCTCCGGAACTTCAGAAGCTAAGTGTGCAACCTTACATACATCAAATCAAACTAACATGCACTCGAACTATTTCGCAACAAAAATTCTATATCACATGGAGAAGCTGACTTGCAAAAATTAATTCTATAACCCTACGCCGCTGCACCGCACTGACCAGCCTGGACGATCTATCCATGGCTGACCCGGTGGCGAGTTAACGGTCATTGAACAAGGGAAGCGGTAAATGAGGAAACAATGAAGATGATGGATATCAGGATATCCCATAATGTCTTGGATATTGTCATAGATATTGTGGGATGTTCCAGAATCCCCGGATGTCCTACAATGTTGCACTTATTGGATGCTTTGGATTTCTCATAATGTCTTTGAACTCTGTCAGGATGTGCTGGCTGGCTTGTCCCAGCCTCTGGCTGTCTCAACATGTCTTTTCTTGGATTGAATCCCTGCAGTCGCCATTGCCTGTGCACTTGGAGAGTGGTCGTCAAGCCGCTATCGTCGATCCCTCCTTCCACCACCTGCCAGTCTTGTACAGTCTGGTGTAGCTAAAGCAACGAGAAAGGCGGCAAGGACGTGCTTCGGCTTGCTGGTAGAAAATGACAAAGCCAAATGACACTCACACACATAACTTACTTAACATCCTTCACTTCAGGTCGCTTCCCTTGTCTGGATCCTGGATCACTGATCACTCGACCTACCCCTTGGGACGTAGCCCCCCTTCCCACCCCTTCCATCTCTGAGTCTTGAAACGTAGCTGCCTGGAAGGGTCTGCCGCCTTAGGAGCGCGGAGCACAGCAAAGCACACACCGCGGGCCGCGAGAGCGGACCGGTCCACAGGGTTGTGGGGGATCTCGATCCCCAGTTCCCCCGCCTGTTCCCTCAGCAAGTTACTATACTAAGTGATTGAACATCTTGTTGGGGATGCTGTTCCTGTGGGTTTTGTCCTGCCAGGACCAAACAGTCCTGGTGTTCCATAAGCGCTTGCTTCCGGCCGAGCCACGACTGCATCATAAAGGGAATGGAGCGGCGATTCGGAACGCCTGAGCCTGGCCTGCCAGGTCACGGGACCACCGGACCTGGTTTTTAGACGACCTGGGAGCCCCTCTTGAGCCCTTCAAAATATACATGTTTAAAGCCACGCATGGTTCGCTGGTGGATCTCTCCCACTCTCCCGCCTCGAACCGGGCGGCGCCGCCAAGCCTAAGGAGTGCGAGGCGTGTTCGAACCAGAAGGGACCGGGCCTTCGACAACCAACACAGAGATCCCCCAAAACCATCCAAAACCCCCTCCAACACATGGCAACCAGTGAAAGTAGTGGGCCGGCCAGCTGCTGAACTAGGAATGTTAAAATAAGTTGTGATGATTGTAGATCTGTAGATGGGGTTATGAAGGGGTTGAATCCGAGCGGGTAGATCAAGGCTGATCAAGGTCTTCCCCATTTGTGGCCCAGAATGGTTGACCAATGCCGTTGCAATGGCATCCCGTAGCTGCGATGAAGAGCACACAAAACAAGAACTGCTCACAGAATCTCACAGATGAGCACCGTAAGCCCGAGGCCCGAGTACCACTGAAAAAGCGCCCCCCAATTTCAAGAGAATCATATCGGAGACCCGTATATACGGTGTATGTGTGCTTTTTAGTTTGCCGCCCTTTAAAGACGCTACTAAACCACCAACATGGTCGACTTTGATGGAGTTCTATTTATGAGGTTCCAAAACCAACCCTAACTGCTCACCTCTGTCCACCATGACACACCACGTCTCCAGCAGCAGGTTTTCCTTCCCCCAATGGCACGGACTCACGCAAATGCACTTGCCACCGAGGCCGCACAAAACCGCATGGCACAGCGACATCACCTTTCGAAAGCTTTAGTACTTTAGTTGTTAGTCTAAAGAATAATCACTATTTAATTCACTAATTGAATTAAAGGGAAAAGGGGGAACCCTTCGATCTGGAGTTATTTTTTTCAATTTTTGATTCGAGTTTAATAAAGGACGTCATTAAAAACATCTCTGGGTTGCTTTTCGGTGTTGTCATATGCAACCAATGATTATTCAAAAGGATCCTCCCACTGACCATATTTTGGACAACCCCTATTTCAGGGACCCCCTATTAAAAAACACACACACACACATTTCTTTTTTTTGCGGGGGGTGGCGTGTTTTCAATAGGTGGAAGGGATTACTTATGAGCTTTCCCATTTCATATAGAAAGGAGAACCATTGAAGATGTGTCACAAAACGTCCAATACATGTCAGAAAAATCGATACGCTGACAAACTCCCATAGAGTGTGTGTACTCTCTCTGCCCATTACTGTAACTTGGCTATGCATCCAAACAAACTCACGCAAGTCAAATCATCATGTCCACGGAAATCCGCTCGAATCCCTCAAAATCATGAGGCAATTCCCAAGATGTTCATCCAGAATCATCGATTGAACGCGAAGTGGCTGAACGGAACTGGCATGAACGGAAGTGGCTGTCCGAGTCGCTCCGGCGCCCGGAATCGAAGGGATTGGCTGCCCCTTGGTGTTGGGGCCATGGACAGGAAAGAGATGAAAAGGGGATGTGAATCTGGACCAGTCGGTGGGGTAGATGGACCAAAATCACCTCCTTGCATCATCAAACGGCCAGCATGGATATGAATGGATCCACTGGACAACTGCAGCATACTGCAGGGTTGGTCAGATGGTCATGCCACATCCACAAGGAGTCCGGGAGTGCATGGGCTCTTCAGTTCAATGGACACAGGGATAGTGACGACCTGAACCGCTGACGGTTACCAAGACACGAACATGGTCATATCAAACCACTCGCTTGGTCATATCAAACTTAGTACATCTTAGTATCAAGGGCAACCACTAGGGTGGGTAGTCGGCCTTTGTCAATGTCTGAAATCCCTCCCGTCCTAAGACCACCAATGACACCCGGCCCCCCGCCACACATCCACTGTCCCTTCCAGGATTGATCCAGAAGGACTAAACGTTTGTCGAAATTGCTGAGGTTCTTGAACACATGAAGGCTGTGGTTTCATGTTGCCTTCTGATCAAACCTACAAACTTGAGAGAGGAGGGGGTGAACGAAAGGTAGCAGGCAATCACAAGTAACCCTGGTAGAAGTCCATGACGGCGTGAACCGGCGCAGGGGGGATTTGATCCAGGGGGGGGCCCCCCGACGAACAGAATCAACTCTTACAGGACCAAACTCAATGCACAATCCCAACTCCTGATTGTAATACATTTTTGCTAAAGCAAGGAGAACTCAGGTAGCTCAAGCTACCTTTTGTGATTATGCATCAGAGATGTCCATCATCAAGTGACCTCACTTAATCCTTAACTCCACTTGGCGTACTGCCTCCTGGCAGCGATGTCCAGTGGCCTTTTCTGTCAAGGCTCCCAATGCAGCCCCTGCAGCCTCGGCAGCAGCTGCCGCGGCCTGCCGAGTTCGACGACCGACGGCTCTTCTGACCTCACTGAGCACATGACTGGCTGGTGAATTTGGGAGTTGTTTGGAGTTGTGTTGTGCTCCGTCTTTGTATGTTTATCTTTGGTCTTTGGTTTGCTATAGCTTCTCAGCAGTGGCCATCCCCTGGTGCCTCGTCTTGACGGTCGTGCAGTTTTTGTGGTCACGAGGGGTCAACCCTTACCCTACTATGCTTGGGCTTGGCTTTTGTTCGGCTGTGATTTAGTCGATGTTTTTTTGTTTGGTTGACTTGGCTTGGCTTGGGGGAAGGGCACCGCAGCGCCTTCCAACCAAGTGCCAAGCCACCTAAACAGCTACTGTACCAAATCCAACATTAAAACAATCTAACGAAACGCACTGGAAACAAAAGCTAGCCATCAAAAACCGAATCAACCGGCAACATGGCAAACCAAAACCACACAAGCCACCAAAGGCCAAAAGCCACGGAAAAAATCACAAAAAAACTACCATAAAAGAAAAACAATAGAAAGGGCTGTAGAAAACATACATACGTATCAACACCTGGCCATCAAAAGCAAAACCAACTCGCAAACAAACTCCAGCCCAAAGCCACACAAGCCACCAAAAGCCCCGCCCGCCACGGAGGCCACAAAAGCCACCGAAGCTAAAAGCCAATTCATGAAACAAAACATGTTCAACCAAAAAGGCAAAACACAAGATAATCCTCCAATATGTGCTATGCGCCCGCATAGCTCACTGGGAAAGTGCAATAATTTTCAGCATGACCTGGATCTTCGAGTCAGGCACATCTGAGCCCTGGTAGCTACCAGCAAACCTGGTAGAAAACCTGGGGGGTCCTGTTCCAACAGAGTCCTGAGAAACGGGTTCTGACCCTCAATCACTATAGTAGGTTCGAATCCCTGCCAAACCGGGGTTGCATTCAAAATCCAACAAACTTTTGGGAGACAATCAGTCTTGTCAGTAGATGACGTCAAACTCCTTTCGTCAAATGGATGTCCATCAATGCTTTCCCCAAGGCACACCATACACCTGCACCATACGCTTGACGTTATGTTGAAACAGCAGTTTGTCATACTATTGGGACACAAGCAATGTAGACCATTGATGAATATTCAGGTATATAATAATAGGGGAATTCATTGATCAATCAACAGTCTACACTACCCAAACACTGCATGTGTGGCATATATACGTACTGCATGCTGGACAATATCTATGATTACACACCATTACACTGCGCTATTACAGAATTTCTACTATTGACCCGGAAACCACCCAAATGTAGAAAATGTAGATGAATAGGTCATGCATGGAGTGTCCCATGGCTTTCTTCCATCTGCCCCACCTGCGCGGCGTCAGCCGCCCGACGGGCCATTTGGGCGGCTTTGAAGGCGGTCTCCGGGTCCTCGACCGAAGAACGTGGGGGAAATGGTGAAATGCGGCCAGAAACCCGGTTTTGGACACCTTTTGGTCGTTCATGTTCAATCTTTTTTGGTCCTTTCTCTCAGGAACCAACCGTCATAACATCAAATCCTTCTCAACCCAGCACGCGTGCTGCGGGCTGGCAGCTCCTCTGCCTGGGCCGCATCTAGTGCACCTTGGGCCGCCTCACTGGCACGTTCCTGGGCGTGTTTCTTTGTGACCGGGGGACGCTGGGTGCGACAATGGGTTCCTGTGACCGGTCCGGAGCATCCATTGATTGTCGCACTTCTGCTGTTCATGGCTAGGTTGAACTTCACTCACGGTTTTGATCCACATCTCATGGTTGAGGAGGGGTGAAGCAATTAGTTTTGCCGCGCACCTTTGAAACCTTAAGTGGTTCGCAAGATCTTTATGCCAAACTTTTTGGGTTGACGTGCTCATATGGTTTGAATGAACATCTTGCCGCGAAATTGCACATGATATAGCCCAAAGCTACATCATGGCCTTACGCATCAAAGTTCACGTTGTTGTTCTTATATAAATGAATATTGTGTTTGGACAGTTCTTGGTTATTGCGGTCATATCATGTCATAACTGCATATACGATATAAACATCGAAGAAAATCAAACAGCTGGGGACTTTGGGGGGACTCAAGGCCGTTCAAAGGATAGCCGGACCATGTGCATTTGACTGGATGCGAACACCGGATTTGCACATCTCACAGGTGTGAGCACAGCAACAACATACACGTGTTTGGAAAAGAAGGATCTATCTGGGGCACCGGATATACCATCACTTTTCCCAAAACTCTCCACAAATGATTGGAACTGATACAAGTGATAGAAGCTGCATCAAACAAAATGAAACCAACAAAACCCCTGGGTCCTTTTCCCATGTTCCTCTTTACTTCATATGGATCTCTTCACGATGGAGGCAGTCCGACTGTCCAAAGTGCCTTGGCCTCCTTGGCCGCCTTCACGGCCTGCTCCGTCCTGAATGAGCGGAGCAGGTGCATCGACCCGGTCCTGCTATGTCCTGTTCACCTGATTAAACCAACTCCGCCTTCATAAATACATCCATGCACCCTTCGACAATGAACTCAGTGGCTGGCGTAGGGTGACTTTTTTCTGGTGCCTGTTCACTCTGGTTTTATCGTGTCACTCACTCATTGCAAGAATTCACCCAGTGAGTGTAATCATGTGTGCGTGGTGGTCCACCTCACATACTACTGATCAGGCCCCATGCCTGGTCCGCAAGAGAACTTGGAGGATCACTGGTCGGACAACTGCTGTTTGGGGCGCAGCTGCAGCGCTACAGGCTGTACTTCGAAAGGTACCTGAATCACCATCCACTATCTACTGGGCTCGACTCAGCTTGCTCTCTCAAGTTGGCTGGACTCACCAGTGACCCAAAACACCCAAAGGCACATCATCTGGAACACCGGATGGCCGGCCAGCATTGGCCGGTCCTGTTTCCCTGTAATGGTTGCAGGTTACAAGGCCACCAACAAAAACGAGCCGAAAGCAAATCAATCCCAATGCAATATGTAAATTATAACAAAAAAACACAAACAACAAAACGTAACAAAAACCTTATTCATTTGATCCAAACATCTCCAGGTTCAAGGTTGACTATACAGATCACACCTTTTTCATCTACGAGTCTACGAGTAACAATGTATAATTACAATGCACATACCCAGGCGAGTGCCATGGATGCTCCCCATGTTTTCGCCCATGCCTCGTCCAGGCCCTTGGCGTTGGCCGAGCGAAATCGCCCGGTTGAGAGCCTGGAAACGTGACTTTCGACTGTTCATCCCTTTCGAGGTGAGATCGGCGCAGCATCGGCTGAATGCTCAAACCACGTGAAAAAAAAACTGCAGCTCGGTGACTGGGATGATTTGGAGATGACCCTGGTCACTGGTCAAGTGTACATGTGATGAAGAAATATGCCGACTGGAAATAACAATCTGTTGAGATGAAACGAGGACTTTCCTAAGGACGTAGGAGGGGAGTCCTCGTGGAAATGAGCTGGTCGCCTTAGTTTCCGTGTGAATGACCTGGACAGGGAGGCCCACCCAAAAAACATGAGCTCACTCAGCCATTCACCTGCAAACATGGAGTGGCACCGAAAGATCACCTCAAACAAGCGATTTTGGGAGCCCACCCACTGAGAATGGTGTCCGCACGTGGTTGGTTTACACCAGCACGGCTCACCTGGACAGTAGTGTCTACGGGGAAAATGCACGTCAATGACTGCAAGCTTCTGAAGGCCATGTTACCGGCATTGTCCTTCTGATTAGGGGAAGATTGACGAATGGATTGACACTTCAGCAAGCTGGCAAACACCCGGCAACCCCTTTCCAGGTTTAAAGCACACTTTTCGAGTGAAACGCCTGTGACGTCCTGCCATGCCGTGCCTGGCACAGGGACCCAGTCCAATGGACGTGCACGCAAGATGTAGCTCAAGCGCGGAAAGGAGCTGCGAAGGTAGGAATTGCCTGCAAATGCCGCAGGGGGATAGTCAAAGCCAAGGTGCTGTAAAGCAAAGCTTGAGTTCTTGGAAGCTCTCAATTTCTTCCCCCTCCCCATGCACACCAAGTTCTCAAAGAAATCATTTGTCATTATTTGTATTCATTTGTCATCATTTGTCTACTTCCCACCCCAAGTTTGCTTCATGCCAGGCTTCCTTATCTCTCAAACATCTCCACTCGTGATTGACTCTTCACCATCTTCACCGGTTGATCCATGTTGATCCTTTCCCCATCCTCATCCGTGTCGACCCGACCCCTCCTGACTTCGATCGTCGGCCTTCCAGGTTGATTCTCCGCGTCTCTGGGCCCTCGCCGCCGAACTCTGCGATGTCGCCATAGGTGGTGTCGATGCGCTCCTTGGACGGGACGGCTGGCACGATACACGGCGCGTGACGTTCCGCTTCGGGATTGAAGCAAGCGAACCGGTGATCGGTCGAAGTAAGTGGGGTGGCTGGAATAGTATAGATCCTCTTAGACGAATCTAAAGCCACAAAAAGCTCATGAAAATGGGAGCACTTGTAAAAGGGACCTTACAATAACCCATTCAAATCAAGTTGGAAAGTGGCCATGCAATACAAATTATATGACTCAAAAACCTATTGAGCTTCACTTACTTTCAGCTGAAAAATCTGAAACCACAAAGTACACCCTCCGGGGTGGAAACGAGGTACCGTTGCACAACCCTGCCAAGGAAGCCACCCAACTCAGGTGGTACCCCATTTTGTCCAACAACCTTCCTATCCATCGACAGTACGTCGTGTTGGAGCGTCTAAGATCATAGATTCTTAGATCAGAGTGGATGCTCGATTTGCTGGAAGGGGAAGTCGATGGAAGCCAAAGGGTTTAGGAGCAACATCTGGTGCCATCCGATGGCAACCAGCTTCTTAGCCTTGCGGCCTTGCGCTTCCAATAGATGCCTTTTACTCATCAGCCCTCTGGTTTCTTGCCGCTGCATTGTCTGCAAACGCGGACTGGCTGAGAACGTGCAGCATGGTCCTGTGAGGTTCTCTCCACGTGACATGTTCTCTTCAACGAACACACTCAAATCAAACGGAAGTGAGGAAAACGCACTTGCTGATTGCTACAAATGCTTGAATGTTTTCTGTGTTGAAGCTTGTGCTGGCACGGTGTGAATGCCTGTAAACCTCACACTCGTGCAGCGTGAAAGCTGTGGCTGACTTGGTCAAGAGCCGCAGTAGGCGCGAGCTTCTCGCCAGATCACGGCAAGGTAAAACAATCGCGATAATTTGCTCAACACAACTATGGGTTAGATATACATGCTACAGAAATAGTAAGAATATAGCCACAAAAACTCATACATGAACCAACCCTTGGGATGTGCTCCTAAAAGTTCCCTGCATACTTACTCCTGAACTCCCTCACGAGAGGGCTTCTCGCTTGCCATTCAACCGCATCCCCCAGTTATTTGCTTTTGTTGAAATGCATCTGTCCGCGACATGATTGACATGCGTGACAGCGTGTGTGACACTGTGCGGAGGGCTTTCATCCTTTTTAAACTGTGGAGATAGACTTCTGCTGCAACATGCTTAGCATTGCTTTGCACTAGACTAGCAAGGCAGCAAGGCCTTGCTTTGCCAGTCTCCATCTGCCTCACATACAGACTTACAGCTGCCACCACAAAGATGGCAAGGAGAAAACAAAACATATGCCTTGCCCAGCCAGCGAGTTCTATTCAGTGAAACGGCTTTTGCAAATTCCGAGGCCTGTGGCACAGTGGCCTTCAGAATCGCACGCGCCCAACGTCAGTCGATCGCGTTCTCCGGTGGCCTCCGTGCAAAACTGGACAGGATGATTGACACGACCATCGTCAACATGGTCAAAGGTGTTCGGAGCTGTATACGGGGCCTATACACACTCTCTTAACTAATATGCTTGTCTGCTATATGCGAAGCCCACGATTCTCCTAAAGCTGTCATCAACCTGAATCATTAGCAGCTACTTGGGCCACGCAACCTCGGTCGGAAAGCCTCCGGGCCTGCTTCAGTTTGAACGTGTAACGCTGACGGATCACCCGTGACTCGCGGGGGCCGTGTACTCCGGGTTCGAGCCGTCCCAGTCCGGGTCCGGGTCAGGAAGGTCTGAGAGAAAGTGCAACCGCCACAAGACCACACCCAAATATTCACTGAGATGAAGCCACCTTCAGTGGACTGAATAGGATTACCTACCGTCACCCTCCAGAAAACACCATTGCCAATGCATCTCTAGTAGTAGCACCTGAATGGAGCATGACGGCTCAAGCAACCCTTTGAACATCGACGGCGGCAATATGGAATACCAGGATACCCTTCAATGCTCAGCGCGTCTTGGCTACTGTGCAGGCTAAGTAAGTCTCGCGCAACTTGGACGGGGAAGACTCATTACAGCTACTCCATGGACAACATTTGATAACAGTCAACACATAGAACAAGCTGCTTGCATGACATTAAACGCCTATAAATACGTATACTATTGATTACTATTGTTGAATATCTGAACTGATTGAATGCATTCCAATCATTGGATGGCCTTTTATCTTCTGCATTCTTGCACCGTCCAAATTGTTCACAAACCAGGACTCCAGGACCAAAAAAAGAAGCATAAATATAAATATATATAAATAAATATATATACTGTATGTATATTACATAAAAAAATCAAACAGAACGGGTTCCTAGGCGGCGCACCTTCAGGTCCCTTTTCGTTTGAAGCTGCGGCCCCATGACATGGACTTTCCTTCCTCGCTCGGCGCGAGCGGTCGGCCGTGACGGCCACCGGACGACCGGCGGTCGGATCGCCAGCTGTGAAAGCCACTGGAGTCTGCCAAGGGCCGAGGTCAAACCCCAAAGTCATGCTGGGTGAGAGAAGCACAAGACCCAAACTACAAAAGTTCCACCACATACATGAAGTGGGAGAGATGCAAATGTTGATGTGACAAGGAGAAGCTCCCTTTAGACTCAAGATGACTCAAGACATCAGCCACCCAGAATTCCATGCACATCTCTTCCGCTTCCGATTCAAAACGCGCAGCAGCACCCTCTCTCTCTTTCGTTGGGCTGAGGGTCTTCGAGGCCACTGAGCCGAAAGTTCAGCTGTCCCTTCTCATCAATGGAGCGCTCCTCACGGAACCGGCCCTGAGGCCCCATGCGCTCGATGACCTCGGGCAAGAGTGAGGGCCGGGGTGAGGGCCGAGGTTGTCTCTCTCATGGTCTGAGGAGAGTCATGTTCATTACACACCCATGTTGTGGCCAAATAGGAACTCTTGAAGGGTTCATGAGAAGCAACTTCTACATGCAGTAATTAAACACATTTGGTGCTAACACTATTTGTCATGATATGCCATAATAAGCAAAGCGGCCAAGGTCTTTCCCTCCCACTCAGCTATACAGGTCAGAGTTTGCTTGTGACCATCCACCGTGGTATACTCTGACCCATCTGCAACGAACTCCTCGATGATGTCTCCCAGCATCGTATGGTTGATGAACTTGAAGGTATCCTTTTTCAGGCCACACAGCCACATGAGCGCAAAGACAGCCGGACATCTTTTTGGAACATCATCTATAATACGGTCTAAGCATGTCTAAGCCGCCTGCGACTCGTGTCCTCAAAAATGTTTAAACGACTGATTTGTAGAGGACACATTGGGTGTACGCCGTATTGTTCAGCTAGGTGACCTCCACCCATAGGACAAGCAACTTCTTCAGGACTTGCACGGGATGCATAGCATTGACTAGTGCTACAATGTTTGATTTTCCTTCTGAGAAACTAGCTCTATATATTCGAATGGGTGCTCAAACAGCCCGTGGGCGACAAAGAACATTGTTCGACCAACAATTATTTGATAAACAAGCCTGGAGAGGACAAAATACTGAAGAACCTATCAAGCACTAACAAAAAGACATGAAGAATCTTCCAGGAATATGTTGGATTCAATACTGTATGTATATAATATATCGTCTATATAGTACATGTTACACTGTTACACCTTGTTACACGTATATTCCCATTTGTGTCATTAATGCCAACAGTGAATCACGGAGACTGATGTGGACTGCTACACACCCCAAAAGGCCTAAGCCGCAGCCCAGGTATTGAAAAATCTTAGATTCAACTTGGCATTCTGGTCCGGTCCTGCTCCTGGTGGAACTCCCAGCTGGGCCATGGGGCCTTTGAAGCCGCCAGCCGCTTCATATAGGAGATCCCCATCTCTTTCAGAAACTCCTCCCATCCATCTTATCAGGTCCAAACTGAAGAAAAGCAACCCAGCCCCTGGAACAACACATGAATGCTGATCAACACCCATCCAGACTGATCAAATATGCCTCACCTAAATGAACATCTCCCACATCACACCCACAACACGGATCGACAGGCAGCCTTTTCAACTTGACAAACTCACCTGGAAATCTTAGTAGCATTCAAGTGAGGCTCTCTCTTTTTCTGCTGCCATCTCCAACCAACGCATCCAACGCACCCCAAACGCATCCAACTCCTCTCCTCCAAGCCCCAAGTGTCGATGCAAACCCATTCCCCATGGAAGCTCGGCCGTTCCGGCTTGAAGAAGTCCGAGATCATCTCCTTGGCGCTGAAAGTCTGCGTCTTTTGGGGGGAAATCCCCGATGTTTTCGGTGGTTGGGGGGATCATGGAGGATCCTATGCAACTTGGCATGCAAGACCTGAGTTGGAAGCTGACTACAACTGGCACAAATGTTTCTCAGACCGACGCGAATGCTGGTTCGATTATTCGAGAAATTTGTGAGGGTTGTGGGGTCCACCCTGCAGGTTGCATTAAGCAACGGCTTGCTTGGAAATCCTCACTGGTGTGGGCAGGATTAACCAAAGCTTCTACACAAAGCGCAAGTGGTGGCCCCTGTCTACCCTGAGCTCACACTGGATTGACGCTGTCACGTGGAATCGACATCACATGACGTGCCGCTGATGGGTCCAGTCCAAGAGTCAATGATGGACTTGGTGCTGCCCATGGATTTGGTACCGGTGAGGGATTGTGTTGTGTTGGCTCTCATGCGATGCCCTTGCACTTGGGCGGTCTCGTCATCGACGTGAATGCCCTGCATGCTAAAGGAAGATACGGCGCGGCTGAACTTCTTTCCTCAGAGAGCGGGTTCAGGTTGACATACTCGACCAAGGGAGAGTTCTGGGTGTTCAAGCTCAGTCTGGTTAGGTACTTTCGGTCCAAACACTGGTTGGCCGATCGAATTACTTTCACCCTTTGCTCGAGCACGCAACATGCGGCCAAACTTAAGAAGGTGTGAGGTTTACTGAGGTTACTGACCATGTGCATGGTTCAGGAACTGAGCTTTGAAGATTGGCCGATGAACTTATATGTGACAACATGTGAAAACTACGAGGTGTTGATGAGGTTCTTGCAGAAGCTCGCGGAAGAACATCAGTGCCCTCCCATCCCACGACGTGTCTACGCCCACGGCAGGGCACGCATTTCCTCGCCACTGGGAGAGTGCGGAGTTTCCACGATGTCTTTGGATGTCGGGCTCGTCTCTTCTTGGATCACTCCCTTGGGGCTCCTAAGATCGTCGCGCCGGTTCCGCGACGGTCTTAGTTAAGAAAGCGAGGCGAGCGTGCTCCACTGCGGTTCCGTCCGATCATATGATGGATCATTGTATGATCATTGTGTATGACGTCCACTAATAATGTAACCATAATGTCACCTAAGTTTAGACCAAATCCCAATCGAAATCATTGACATTCAAATCCCTATGAACATCTTTGAACGGCAAGGAAGCGCTCAGCCCGTTGAATCTTCCCCACCCCGTCTTTTGATCCACACCTAGGTGAAGCCCTTAGCCCGCGCGTTGGTTTGCCAAAACAGGTGTGGAGCACGTGACAAAAGTGGAGCACGTGGCACGACATGACATGTATATATCTCTTCAGTTGGATTGCTTTGTCTTGTTGCAGTCAATCTAGTGGTGTTTCATAGGAAAGTGCTGAAGATAATCCGGATGGTTAAATTACGGATGTGTGTGAACGTCTCTTTCAATCGATGAAGAGAACATCAGTATCGTGAACAGCAGTTTTTGGGATCCATCACATATTCAAAACCACGGACATGCCCCTGAAAAGGGGCTAGCATGGACTTGTGATTATAGGTTCATCGAAGGCACAAGCGCCCACACGCAGGCAAAACAGCAAAGGAATTGATCAGTCTCAGCCTGCTGTGTTCGAGCTTGAGGGACTTGGGACACATGAGATGTGTCGTCAAATCACCATGTGGTTTCTTGCTTTCCAGGCACACAATTTCCTCCTCATCATCCGGCTTCTGCTCCTCTGGGGGCGCCGCCGCGCTCTCCGGCTCGGCGACGGCCGCATGACTACAGCAGGCCACGTGGTTTCCCATGGCCGACCACGTCCACTGAGCCGCACAACGGCCGCGGACGGAGGTGCAGGTGCGCACGGAGGTGCAAACCGAAGGCATTCGGTCCTTGACTCCCTGTCTGTTCATCTGCGTGCCCTCCCTGAAACTGGAGGTAGAGGAAAATGGTCTTTCCAGGGGCCATATTCCACTTCCATGATTGTGTCAGGGAGGGCAAATATCGACAGATCTTATATCATATCTTGGCTGACGGAAGTCCTGAGGATGGAATTGCATGTTTTGCATCAGCACTCGACAATCATCCTACGGACATGCTCCAATCACAAGAAGGAGTCTGTACAGGTGCTTCGTTCAAGCTAAGGTGTTGATGTGCAATTACCCCAGCAGTCTGTCATCCGCGATTCATATTTTCTCCATCCACATAATCTCCAAGCTGTTCCATCAATCAAGTCATCTTCAGGCGTTGCTAACGAAGGTCATGTGGATGTAAGCTCTTCGTGCAGCAATTGTTTCCACAATACCAGCCTCTTCATCAGTCCCTTGAGCTCTGCATGGCCTCGCTCATGCGACCCGACCCACGTCGTGGCCATCACGGCCATCACTGCCGCGAAATCGTCGGATCTTCGGAAGCGATGGTGGCCTGGAAGCACATTTGGTGAAGCGATGGTATGCCACGGATCCAAACAAAGGGGCAATACTGGGGTGTACACCAGATTGTTCCGTCTCCTTAAATTGTGCATAAAGAACCAGTGCATATACAAATATGTACAATACTAACACACATAACTAACTACATAATGTTACATACATACTCATACATGTACATATAAATCTACTCTAAACCTACTGTGAACCCTTCATTGGACATGGCGTGGCCAAGTGTTATCCTCTCTCAATTAATCATGGAACCTGAACATGCTCCCGCTGCTGAGAATTGTCAAGACATGTCAAGACCCAAGGCAGACTCTCCTTTTTCATGATTGTTGGAGAGTTGCGGTACATCAACAACACACAAACAATAGCTGGTTTAGGTATGGTTTAGGTGCCATTTAGGCGTCCACCCTTCCAAATCCCTGTACAATTGACAATAGCTCATAGATTCATGACACAGCCCTGAAGATCCCAAAGCAGAACGTGTCCACACATCTGCTTGCGCAGAACGGTGTCCGACGAGAACAGCTCTATTATATTCCAAACATCTCTTGTCATGTCAGTTGGATAGTGGAAGTTACAGCTTGCAAAGCTACACGAAGCGAAGTCGAATCCAAGCCTTTCAACTCTTCATCCCAGCTCAACCATGAGAAAGCAAAGCCATCTTCTTCAACATAGTGCCTCCATGAGCCTGTGAAGCATTCATCACATCTGCGGATGCCGAACGATCAAAACCTGGCTGGCTTGAGGGGAACATGAGCCACAACCATCCAAAACCGAAAGTGTCGTGCTACAACGTGTCCCTGCCCAGCCTATCACTCCTCATGATTTCTTAACAGGGACCGGACGTCAAACAGCCCTCGTCGTTTGGCGCATCGTCTCGTCAACTCGATATATAACAGGCGGTCTCGTCACACCCCACGTGTTAAGTTGCTTGGGGACCGTCGTTCGTTGTTTCGGGGGAATTAGCGCATATGAAGTGTTTTTGACCCTTGCGGACCTCTGAAGAATTGGTTGTTCAGAACTAAGAGAGGGTATAAAACACGTCTTGTTTTTTTGCGTTGTTAGTGGCAACATACGAGACCCAAAGGGACTATTTCATAGGTTTGTTTGTCTCGTGAGTGGTGAGTGAACGGCCACGGTAAAAGCTTTGTAGACGTTGTAAACCTTTGTAATTTTTTTGTAATTCAACAACTCTGTCAACTGTTTGCAAAAGTTGCAAACTTTGTACAAATTCTGAAGACTTTGTGAAAGTTTTGTAAACTTTGTATAACTTTGTAAAAATACAAAACTTTGTAAACGTTCTAAAACTGTGTAAAACGTTGCTCTAACTTTGAAGAATAATTTGAAGAACTCCAAAACTTTGTAAAAGGTTTGTAAACCTTTTTACAAAGTTTGCGAATTTTGCAACGTCTTAATAAAGTTTTACCAAGTTCTTACAAAGTTTTACAAGTTTAAAGGTTGACAAAGCTTACACAATTTGGCAAAGTTTAAGAATGTTTTACAAAGTCTACAAAGTGTTGACAAAGTTTACCAAGTTTATACCAAGTTCACTACGTTTTTACACAGAGTTCAAAGTTGGTACAAAGTTTACAAAGTTTTACACAGATTTTATGAAGTTTGCAAAGTTTTACAACCGTTTACCAAGTTTACAAAGTTTTACAATATTTTAACACAGTTTACAAAGTTTTGAACAATTTCCAAAGTTTACCCAGTTTACAAAGGTTTTACAATTAAAAATCAATTAAAAACGTATTGAAAGTTTTACAATGTTGCTGCAATGTTGACAAAGTTCTTACAACGTTTACACAGTTTTGCAAGGTATTGAAAGTTTACAAAGCTTGTACAAAGTTTATAACATTTTTACAAAGATTGCACATTTTACAATTTTTACATCGAGTTTTTACAAAGTGTACAAACATTTGCAAACTTACACAGTATTTACATAGTTTACAAAGCTTTCACAAAATTTGCAAAGTTTATACAGTTTACACAGTTTTTGCACAGTATTGAAAGTTTACAACGATTTTACAAAGCTTAACAAAGTTCTTGCAAAGTTCGGAATTTACACAGTTTTTCAATTGGTACAGAGTCTACAAAGTCACACAAAGTGTTTACAACGTTTTCAAAGTTTTTACAAAGTTTACAAAGTTGTACAACGTTTTTACACAGTTTACAACAGCTTTTTCAAGTTTACAAAGTTTTTACAAAGTTTACAAAGTTTTTACAAAGTTTACACAAGTTTTTCAAGTTTACAAAGTTTTTACACAGTTTACAAGGTTTTTACAAAGTTTATACAAAGTTTACAAAAGTTTTTCAAGTTTGCAAAGTTTTTACAAAGTTTTTACAAAGTTTACAAATGGCTGGTGAAAAACACTTATGTTTACAACAAATGACATGAAAAACACTTCTTCTTAAGCAAAAAATAGTGCAAAAACACTTCATTCACAGAACTTTACAAAGTTTTTACAAAGTTTACATAGTTTACACAGTTCTTACAAAGTTTACAAAGTTTTTACAAAGTTTACAACGTTCTGACAAAGTTTGCGACATTTGCCTTTTGTTACACAAATTTCCAAAGTTTTTTCAAAGTTTACAAAGTTTTGAAGATTTTGGAAAGTTTACAAAGATTTTGCCAAGTTTACGAAGTCTTGCAAAGTTTACAGAGTTTCGACAAAGTTTACAAAGTTTTGAAAACGATTACAAAGTTTTGATAGTTTATTTATTTGCAAAGTTTACAAAGTTTCTTTCTACATTTTACAAAGTTTTTACAAAGTTTGTACAGTTTCACAATTTGTACAAAGTTTTTAGGAAATTTACAAAGTGTTCAAAGTTTACAAAGTTTTCACAACGTTCACAAGGTCTTTCAAAATGTTTACAATGTTTTGACAAAGTTTACGAAGTTTAAAACGTTTTACAAAGTTTGCAAAGTGTTACGAAGTCTATAACGTCCTTTTTTTAAATAGAGTTTACGAAGGCCTACAACATCTAAAAGTTGTTTACAAAGTTTACAAAATGTTAGTACAAATGTGTACAAAGTTTGCAATGTTTACAAACTTTTTGACAAAGTTCACAAAGTTTTGACAAAGTTTATAAGTGTTTACAAAGTTTTGACAAAGTTTTCGCATTTTACAATTTTTTACACAAAGTTTTCGCAGTTCTTTACACAGTTTTACAAAGTGTACAAAGTTTTTACAAAGGATTACGAAGTTTAAAGTGTTTCAGTGGTTAAAACGTTTACAATTTTAACAACAGTTTACGAAGTTTTGACAAAGTTTGCAAAGTTTTTCAATCTTTACACAGTTGTTGCAGAGTTTTGAAAGTTTACAAAGTTTTTAGAACTTCACCAAAGTTTCTACAAAGCTTACACAGCTTTTACAAATTTACAAAGTATTTACAAAGTTTACAAAGTTCTTACAAAGTTTACAACGTTTTGCAAAGTTTTCAATGAATAAAGTTTACAAAGTTTTGACACAGATTGAAAAACTCCGAAACTTTGTAGAAAGTTTGTAAGCATCAAAAACTTTTGTAAAAGCTTTGTAAAAACGTTCAAACTCAATAACTTGGTAACAACTCTTTGTAAAATTCCAAAACTTGTTCAAAGCTTGATAAATGTCCAAAGCTTTGTTCAGATATCTACAGGTTCAATACTTTGTAAAAACTTCGTAGTTCCAAAGTTTTGTAAAATTCAATGTACTGTAAGTTTCCAAAACTTTGTGAAGTTTGTTATTTCTATTTTTAAACTTTGTAGACTTTGTTAAAACTTTGTAATGCAAAAACTCGGTAAAAAAGTTGTAATTCCAAAACTTTGTCAATTTTTTGTAAAGATCCAAAACTTTGTAAACACTTTGTAGGAAGTTTGTTTGAAGACCTGCGAAAGCTGTTCAAGAAGAGCTGATCTTTGGATCAGTGAGACTGCTTGCATTTTTTTGTTAAAAGAAAGGCATTTGGTGCTTGCGCTTTGGGAATTTGTGACTGATGGCTGTAGTGTTTCAGGGTATTGAGGGTGAGAAGAAGGGTCGAATGGTTATTGGTTGTGCAAGTGTTTTAAGACTTGGCCACGGAAACACCAAAACACTTCTTTCATTTTTTCCAAAGAGCATTGGTGCAAAACACTTCTTGCGAGCAAACACACTAAACTCAAGCAACTTAACAACCCCACGCATGGCTTTGTATTTTTCCCACCTGCTTCCAAATGGCTGTGGGTCAAAAACCAAGATACCTTGGTTGACCTGCCGACGGAAGGTCAAGTTACATGGTGGACTGGTCGGGCTCCAGGCGTTGACCCATCCATACCCACCCCCCACACAGATCCACATCACCAGCGCCCCAACTCATCACCCGACCCCACGGCCCCACGTTCCCACATGCCTCTCCATGGACCAACCGTCGTTCAAGTAGAGATCACCCGTTAGTGCAGCTTCAGCAGTGGTGAAGACATCCTGAACTGGGTCGGTCACACCGGTCCGACGCACCGATGGACGCAGCGCAGCGTTTGGGGCAGACCTCATCCCCATCCAAGCGCGTGAGTTGGAATACTCAGTATGAATGGTATCAACATGCCTGTACAGTATTCAATCTGAGCCAACAAACGGACAAATCTCCTTCTGGCCGAACAACACCCGATGTGATCAAGCCAGGAATGAGATCCATGTTGTGGCCCAGTCAACATGATCTTTGTGGACAGTTGCCGCCTCCACTCTCTTTGAGGTGATCATCTAGTTTTGATAATGATGCATGCGCTAAAGCTCAGAGTCCTCATGACCATCTCTTGCTTACATCAACCCATATCACTTCAATGCAAGCTGCAATTCTAAAACCCTAGCCATTATAGCCCGCAGTTGTGGGACCTTCAAAGCCAATCAATTCTTACCTCAACCCATGAATCAAGGGGGTGTCTTCCTTTACTGGTATCAAACGGTGATGAGATTTACCGTATGTCAAGCTCCGCCGTCTCTTCTTCCGAAGCGGCATCTCGTGCCCAGCCTCCTCGGGTTTGGCCTTTGGCCATTGGGTTGTGCACTCAGCCTGCCCAGAGGACGCTAGTGATCGTGTATAGCTGTTACCGGCATTTGCCACCATGTCCACTCAGCAGGATGACCAAGTTCCCCTTAAATCTCAGGAGTCATCACTATCACGAGGGTCGGTTGGGCCAGTCACTTTATTGTGCGGTCTTTATCTGTGCCCTTCTTGGTCAGCAAAGTCCACAAGACAAATCCCACCGTGAAGGTCTTGCCAAGGTGGGTGAGGCAAAGTGAGGCTATGAGATCATGAAGAGAGATATGTATATATTTACAAACATATATCCAGATCACAGTGTCACCCTTGATTTATATAGTAGTTAGATTTGTGACCGGATTCGTAGATATGATTCAACGACTCCAACTCGCAGGCATCGATGGCCTCACACTGGTAGGCTGCAAGGGCACAAAGGCCTTCCGGATCGTCTTGCGCTGGGAATGTCAAGTTCTGCGCCTGTCCGCTGGTGAACAACGTGAATCCGGGCAGTTTGAGGCTTGTGAGGCACCGAAACCAAAAAGAGACAGCCGGCAGTTCACCTACCACATGTGGCATCGCAACGGTAAATGTCTCACACATAGCGCCTATACACATACTGAATGGGCCGCTCGGACTCAGACCTCGCCAGTCATGCTGGCATGACTTGACTTTGGATGCTTTGGACCATCCGGGGGCCAATAGTTATGGCTGTTTACTGGAGAGTGTTCTTGGTATCTGGCCACGGCAGCGAGGCCATGGCCGGCCAAGCCCTGGCCGTGGGCCTCCAGGACGTCCTGGCGCACGAAAATCAGGTCGCTGGTGCCACAGGCCACCACGTGGATTAAGTGATAGCCTGCAGCGCCCGAATCGCTGGACATCATCGAATTCGAGGTTTTTTCAGGTTTGGCTTGGAACTCCTAAGCCATGAGATCAACCTCATTGACCTGTTTGGAGCATCTTGGGTTGAACAACTTGAAGACCAAATGCCCCCAAACGAACGTAGCAACGATACCTGGATGAGCAGGCTTGTGCGTTGCCGCATCCTGGAGACCACTAACCGCTAGGTGCTTCCCAACCCACCTGACAGGAAAAGAACAAAACTTTGGGATTGACATGAATTCTAGCAGATTCTAGCAAGGACGCTATTAGGTGGAGGCCATCGCAAGTAGGTTGGAGGCCATCGCTACTAGTAACAAGAAGCTACTAGGTTAGAGGCCATTGCTATTTGGTTGGAGGCCATCGCTACTTGTAACAAGAAACTACTAGTACTCACCAGGTGAACAATGTTGAGAAGTGCACTCCGCTGCTTGCTCTGTTGCATGTGCACTTGATGTTTCTGGTTCTTTTACTCCTCATCGAGCAACACCAATGTTGTGCCTTCAGCACTGCACACGGTAGGCCAATGAGTGATGAGGTATAGCGAGCAGTTTCTCCCGCAAGCCTTTACTGCAGCCCTTCTTGACCAAACATGCCAAGTGGCCCCACGCCAGGCCAAGTCTTAGAAGACTATAGATGCTGCTGCCGGAGACGCGCGGGAATTGTTGCCTGTAGCGGTTCAAGAGTTATTCAGGTTGTTGCGTCCACCCGTCGAAACAAATCTGCAGAATGCAGCACCCCAAGAGAACTCAAGCACGACCAGGGCGCAAAGTGCAAGCGTGTGGATGAACCTCATCAACCCATTATCAATACGGTAGTTGAAATGCTACGGAAGCATCCTTAGCAATCCGTGATCCCATCACTTGCAATGTGGTCACTGTCCCTTACACAGCACTGCATTATTTCACGCAAATTCCTGGCCCCATGACTCATGACATGCCCCAAACGTCTAATCTCAGGCCCTTTTTGTACAGGAGTAGGATGGAGTAGGGTAAAGGTGCAGTCTTCCCTTCGAGGCGGATGCTTTTGCGGCTCCAAGCGGCAGCTGTGACAAGCAAAGCCGATGGATCCTCGTCCCAGCGCGCTTTCTTTCGGGCATGCGGTGTCGTCGCCCATGCGTCGTCGTTGGGACATTTAGAAGCTAAATTGCCATAAATTGCACACAAAGACTGCCTGGCAAACCTGCCCCTAGATCTGGACTAACTCCATGCAAGTGGAGTCACTTCCTGTGAATTTGCTCTGTATTTCAGTCAGTGGGGAGTTGGAACACCTGATTCCACTATTCAGTAGTAAAAATATAGTCAATGGTTCCACCAACACAGCGGTGTAAGGTCCGCGCCCCAACACACACACAAATAACACGCAGGTCCCTGCACAACAGTCTCGGATGTCATGTATCGCCACGCCAAGACTCGGCAGGGTGGAGTATCGCACTAGAAGGTCTTCCATAAAGGGCAAACTCTCGCCGTATTCCAAGATGACCAGCCGCGGGAGAAAGCGCGCCTCCTGGCTGAAGAAGCACAACAACAAAAAAACGCACGGTTCTGGAACAACATGACGTCCAAATGCTGATGAGTTCATCCAACATGAACTCTCGATAACCCCTACGACACCAGCAAATTTCAAACCAACGTCCGCAGTGGCCAAAGCAAATGTCTTGTCTTGGCTCCTGCAACTTCATCCACAGGAGCCATTCGAAGCCATCTGTGTCTAGTGACAGCCTCAAAGCAGCCAGCAACTGACAGCAACAAGCCCATCTGACCTACTCAGTGCGGAAACCCTTTGGCGCCTTGTGTGATCTCGCTTCGAATGCCCTGCTGGGAGACGAAAACACACACATATTGAGAAGGTTCATAGGAACTGCAGGTCAACTACTTCTTAGAGCAAGGAGCAACCCCCGCCCGAAGGTCTTATCATCTCACCACCCAAAATTGTCCCAAAGGCCCAAAGGTGCAGCGAGCAGCAAGTCAAAGTTTTTGGGTACATCGTACTCCTCGAAAATCTCCACCACATTTGCCGGCGTGACAAATCCTCAAATCTTCAAGGCGTTTGGCTTGGCACGAGTATGTTAATTGAAACCACTAGCAAATCCTCACCGCAAGCCTCATTCTAAGAAATGCCGTGGATCTGACGCGGCCCTTGCAACTTGCATCTATTAGGAACCTGCCTCTGCAACTTAAACTCATGGAGTACAGCTCTAGGTGGCATGATTAATCAAAAAGCCTATACAGTAGGAATGCATGCTCTTTTTCAGCGTGAGGCGGGGAAGGCGGGGATGTCCTTCTCACCTCCATCTGCAGGTCCCGTTCCCACGCCATGCACCGCGCCATACCATCTCAGGCTCGACGCGTCTGATTCACATGCGGGTTTTGAAAGTTGTCGTCGACCAGGAGTCCATGAAAGCCATATCGAACTCGGAGGTATCCTTTGTCGGATGCAGTTCGAATCCCGGCTCCAAGGGAATGAGCATCACTTGGTATCACACAGGTTGCACTAGGTGACTGTAATTGTTGATGCAGTTAATTGCTCAACCGCGTCCAATGATTGACTCACACCAAACATCGCCAACCACACATTCTTACAAATGCATCAAACAGCATGTGTGACCATGCGTTTGCAGAATTCCTTTCAAGTGGGGAGCGGCGTGGAGCTTCAAGAAATGATTGCTTACATTGCATAGATAATAAATCATGTAATTATACAACATCATACATTATACAAACACAGACCTCCATACCTAGACTTCCAGCTCTCAAAAAGGAAGACTCCGAGTTCTCAGGGGACGGGCTTATATGATTATAACGATATATAATAGGTTGTGGGCCGTGGACCGAACCATCAAGCAAAGCGCTCCTAGACTTACAGAATCGCACCGGCACAAAGAAAGAGCGACGTTGAACGTACTCGGTGATTCTGAACCTACGACGTAACAATCTGCAACGCAATGTGACGTTGAAAGCCACAAGGCTGGATTTGCTGCAGAACACCGAGGCACGAGTGTTGCATTGTTCGGCCGACTGAGTTCCCACTTCGACATAGTAACCTCAGTTCCCGCACCGGTGGCCAGGAGCTTTCCAAGAACGAAGCGGAAAACCGAAAGGAAAAAAACAGCTTTAGAGCCCGAGGCCTGTTTGGCCTAGCCATGTCGTTGATGGTTCACACACATCTGTTGAGAACAAGCCAGTAACCAAATTACCCTCGATCCAACAAACATGGAAGTGGAACATGGCCCCTTTGGAAGACTGTTTTCCTCTACGAACAGGCTGCATTCCACGTAGCCATGCTTGTTTCAGGGAAGTTGTGTATACATAACTACTGGATATTACTGGTTGCCAATGCTTGTCCCCCAAGGGTCACCCAAAAAAAAGACATCCGCTAAGAGTGCTGAAACTTGGCTCGACCGCCGCCTGTGGTCTGCGGCAGTAGCTACTGCTGGGGACCCAGGTTCTTTGAGGGTACTACCCATTGCATATGAGTAGAAATGAGATGGTCTGCTGCATGTCTTCCCACTCATCTTATTTTTACTCCAGGCTTTGTCGTTGCATGTCCTTGCCTCTTCCAAAGGCTTTTTTGTTTGCTTTTTGGGGCTCAGATTCACCAGGGAGCTACCATTCCCCCAAGTAAGGAGTGTCAGGTCACCTCATTCTTTCACCTCACCTCACTCCAAAAAGCTCGTTGAGATGTCAGCCGGGCGGCCATTGGTGATGCCGATCAGCGCAAAGATCCGTTCCAGGACCTCATAAAGGACATCATGCGTCCTCATGTATGTCTCCACTGATGTCATTTTGGTAGTAAATTGGTGAAGGACCAAACCCCATCAAACCCTGAAAACATCGGAAACCAACCAATCAGAAAAAGGAATGTCTAGGCCTTCATCGCAAATTCAAGTGGTTTGGCTGCAGTGCATCATGCAACACTCCAATGGAGCATCCCAAAATGGTCATGATCCAAAGGGCTGGCTCGACCGACCTACTCCCTCAATCCTAAAGCCTTCTCAGCTGCATACCAAAGAAACACAATTCAATTAAACATCTACATGAGTCACCTCTCAGAAAAGTGAATGAAATCCTTTGAGGCCCTGGCCCTGAGCGCTCTGACCCGACATATGTCAACCCAAACATGAGACAATTCCACTCGGGGAGGTGGGGAGCTTTGACTCAACTGTTGCCTCTGTCAAGTGCTTTGGTGCTTTCTCCCCAGCTAGCAGCTGGCCCAACAAAACCCGTAAGTCCTGACGTACGAGGATGTTCCTATCTAAGGCCATCCCTACTACCTACATCGCCTGTGCTAGACTAGGTTGGCCCCAGCGGCCGGGTCCTTGAGGCTTTCAGAGAAGACCGGCTCCAGGTGCCGCTCCCAAATGCCGAAAGGAGCCATGGATGGAGAGACCTGGGCAAGTGGACTCCCCCCCACCAAACGCCACAAAAAGGGGTGTCCACCTCGCCCCTCCAGTCTTAAGCCCAGAGCTTCGTCCAAGAGAGTCCGGTCTTAAGCCTGATTCACCGATCATGCGCAAACACCACGCGGCTCGGCGGAGCGAAGGTCACAATGCCAAGCCAAGAAACACCCGTCAGCGATGGGGCGACCGGCCCGGCACGCTCTGCAGTCTGTTTCATCCAATGCTGATGCACCTGCCAAGGAGATAGGATGTCTTTGGACAATTTTGGACATGGGCCTTCGGCCTTCGCCTCATGCCAAAGCTCCTCCCAATCCAAACTCCCAACTTGCCAAAGTGATCCTATTATGCTTCACCATCTTCGGTCGCGCCTCCAGGCCATGCCCCAAGACATTCACTGCGCCACCATAGCTGGGATGCTGGGAGTCATTCCTTACGGCCGAAGCGGGCGGTGTCACGCAGGCCTTCACTCAGCGGCCCTGAAAGGAAGAGCTGTGCTGCTACCGCGCCTCCCACTACCCGTGAAATCGGGAGCCTTCTCTGCCACCAAGTCCTAAAGGGTAAGAAGTGGAAGCCTTTTTCAACATATGTGCGTACTTAGCTCAAATACACTATCTCTTATGTAGGGGCCCTATCTCGTTTAGACTACTTAAGCAGGAGGTCAACAGGGAGCCTACCAAGTCCGCCGCCTCCCACGACCGGTGCAAACGATCGTTTAGCGTCTCACATCGTCCCACGGCCACCGCCACGAGATCGACCTCCCAGTTTGATGACCCTTCACTCCCGGTTCCAGCTCATGGCACTGGAGAAGGAGCCTCGTGAGCTCTTGCGCACTCTGCAGGTGGCGCTCCGCCCAGTTGGGCTGCAGGTCCAACAGCCTCGCCGCGCTGCGTGAGCGCGGACCACGCAGCGCGGCATCGTTTTGGTGCACCATTCTGGTACGCCAATTTTTCGGCAATGTCACCGTGTCAGAAGTCAGAAGAAGCACATTGGACTTCTGACTTCTTCTATGGCTGATCTATGACCATGTCTTTTGAAGGGCTGCGGTCGCACGTCCGGTGCCCAACAGCCGCACACCTCCGAGCGGTGAAGAGATGTGCCAACAGCCGGGCACCCACGCAGGAGGCCGCTGAATCGAGGAGGTGAGGATAGTTGGACATGACCTCAGGTCAAGCATGACCCTGGACGTAGCTGGACGTAGTAGCTGGAGCATGTGATACTGTACATCGTTTGGGATATTCTCTGGGATTCAAGTGGAAGTTGCTAGAATAGTTATGCGGTTCTGATATGTTCTGATTCTTCGTAAATATATAGTAGGACATGACTTATATATAATATAATATGTTCCTTTAGAACAAGAAACGTCCAATTAGGCCAGATGTGACCGCATTTTCACGGCAAATCTCTCCCCTAATGGTTCGATGATGAACCTCACTTCATGGTGGATCGCAATTGTAACAGCTGGTCGTCTAAGCCCATCACATGCATCGAGTGTGCCAGATCTCCATAGCCCGGGAGGTTCGAGTAGCGATCGTAGGCCACTGACAGCGACCTGGCACACCAGACTGAAGTATTCTCTGACCTGGTTAGGTGTTTATGTTTTCACTTATATAAATGGATCGATCATTTTGAACATAACTTGAACATGAAAAGTATCTGAAAGCACCACCCAGTGACTCACTGACATGGATGTGGATGGCATGGGCCCCTGGAAGACGCCTTTCCTCTACAAACAGGGAGGTGCCGTCCACTTAGTGAGTCGGACAGTTTTTGTTTTGTCAAATCAAACATGTGCACAGGACGACAACAACAACCAACGACAACAACAAGCCAAGCCGTTCAAAAAGGTCAGCAACAACACCATGACAACATATAACAACACACATTTGTGCTGAGGCGCATGCCGGCAGCACGATCTAGGGCATCTGATGCCGTGGAGATGACTTTCGAACACAGGTCCTCTGGCCGCAGCAGGCACGCAGTTATCACCTGCAAGCCGGGGCAAACTCATGTGAAATATCACAGTCGAATGCAGTTGTGTTGATTGCATTCCTCGAGGCCACTGGCCAAATCCACCCGTCCGGGCCAATACATGCCACCAACAAAAGGGTCCAAAGAAGCGCTCGACTACGTGAAATCCTACGGGTCAGAAATCAAGCCAAAACATGACATACCGACTCCCTCAGAAAATAATGGTTAAGATGTTCCACCTGTTCTTGTTTTGTGGAGAGATCACCACAAAAATGATTAACTTGGAAACTTCCCCTTTGAATCAGGTCAAATGTGTTTTGCTTGGTCAAGGCTCCGTATATTTGGCAATCGATCTTCAAGTGCCAGTGGATGAGGGTCAGTTAAGGTCTGATTATTCCACAAACAATTTATTAATCATATGTAATCATATATATATAATCCCCGTTGCCACCGACTACTGAGGTTCACCCCCCATTTTATTACTGTAAAAATTGGTCATGTAATCTGGTGAAACTCAAAGACCTATACATCTGGGAGCTCAATCTACCCTGGTTATCCCTGGTTTGGGGCTCCAGGTTGTTGACCCACAGCCATATAGCCTTCCAGTATGTTATATGGAATCCCAGTTGCTACCGGCTAGCTAAAATGAGTGTGGTCGACCACGCAAAACCCATGTTATTTGACTCATTTAGTTTAATTAAGGTTATCTAAAATGGGTCGAACATTAAATGGATGACACGGATGAACTCTTTGCACAGTCAAATAGCCAGTCACGACAGACAGTGGTTTTGTTTTCTTTTGGCACCTTTTAAATGAAATGAGGTAGTCTATTCTGTTAGGTAAGGTAGTCTATTCTGTTCTTGGTCAACCAGGGCATCCGGCTTATTCCGGCTTTGACCCACAAACATATTGGAGAAGGGATCGGCTCTGCCCTGCAGCCTTCCCCAGCAGCCAGGCCACCTTGCTCTGCGAGACCACCGCATAGAGCCCCAGCCGGACCAGGGGATCCTTAGATCTGGATGCATCAGGATATCATGAGTGGAAATCACTTAAAGGTCCACACAATACTTCTTCTCTAAAGACAACAATTTGATTTGGAGGTCTGGATGGGGCAGTCCAATGGCTTTGCACGCTGATAGGCACCACAAGTGTGTGAGTATGGTTCCATCTCTTTCGTCTGCCATGCGCGCTCTTAAATAGAAAACAATATGGCGGCATATCAGCATATCCATGTGGGAAGAGTGAGTCGTCAATCTCTTCTTCGGCGCCTGCAGGTTGTGCCAGGCCAACGACTTGGTCCATGGCAAACTGTTCCAAGCCTCCGCCGGCCCACGAAGCAAGAAGGTTCGGCACCGTGTCGGCGGCGGACACGGGTTCGGAACACAACGGTGATTGGCCTGAAACATGGAAGCAAATGGACCCACAAGTGAACTGACTGTCAGTGACGACCAAGTGAACTTGCCGCCGAGGGGTTCTCGGACTCTTAGGGTATTGGATGTTCTAGCTATCACGTGCCTTGTTCAACCACACATTTCTCCATATTGACCCACTCCCACCATTGGCGAGTCGCCGCATAGGCGTCATGCCATCGTTCCAGTAGCTGAACGCGCTGGGCGGCTGCCGCACGGGCGCCACAGCTGAGGAGTGCCATGAGGAGAGCAGCTGGACAGGCCTTGCGCGGAGGTGGCCGATGTGGCGGATGGTATGATGGTGCTTCGAGTAGAGAAAGAGGGATGGTCAGGACTCAGGACCAACTAGTGGATGTTGCTTGGAGATGCGTGGGGTGACTGACAGAGTGGAGAGTGTATGCTTGATGAGGCGTTTCTCAGACTTACAGTTAGTTATGATATATCAGTACCTGGCTTGATGGGGCCGGGGAGTTGTCGATTGGAGCGCATCGTTTCTTTTTTTGTTGGTTACGCCGCCCATTGGAACGTTTCGATTCGCTGGAATTTATATAGAGCGTCAAGATGCTCACCGAACTGTTTTCACTCCGCCATGTTGACGGCTCTTGAGTTCTTCGAATTCTTCTTGTTGCTGCTGGCGTTGCGTCAACTGCTGGTCTTCTTGCGGCAACTGACGCCACTGCTGGTGATGAGTCGGTTTGCGTTGTACGAGACCTGCGTGGTGTTTTCAAATCAACTGTACGATCCCAATGTGGCTTCGACTCTGCTTCTGACAAAGGGCTTCAAGGAAGTGCCCTTCTCCTGCTTGTCTGTGCAGACTGCAATCATGCTAACAACCACGCGACCACCAGTGTCAGATTGTGCAATTTCCCAAAGCCGCTAACGACGGCGCGGCGTGGCCCTGTTTTTGCTTTTGAAAAAACCGTTGGATGCTTCGAATCAACCCTTTCAGACCGTGTCGGGTTTCCTTGAGACCAATGCCGTAGGGCGAGCCATTTAAACCAGCCACCAGTGTCCTGACAGTTACAAAAATCATGCCTGAAACCACTCTCCAAAATCTGTCGGGGTCCGCATAAATAATGTTCATTGTTCATTTCTTGGAAGGCCTAAACCCAACCATACCAACCCCAACTGCCTCCTTGCCTCGTAGCTGGCACCAGGATCCACCAAGATCGGCTCCTGATCCGGGCCCAGCCCGTGGAATGTCACCCGCTGCCGAGTCGCTGGATTTGGAAGAAGACGTTGGTGCTCGGAACATCATCCGACTTCCGGAGAATTGTTGGAACAAGGTTCGCTATTAGAAACAAGTGCATCGCTACGTTCGTAACAAGTGCCTTACTAGTAGTAACAATGTTTGCTATTAGAAACAAATAGCTTAATTAGTAAAGAAGGCTACTAGGACCTTTTTGACCCCAGGACATCACATTGTTCTAGGAATCGACCAACCGATTGTGATGCATTCTGTGAATGTTTTTTTCCTACACTACACGATGCACCTCGACCGAGTGGAATGGCGCCTTTTTGGGAATGATGACTGATATTACATAATCTCTGTGCCCCACTGTGGGCCTAAAGTGGAGCAATTGTGAAAAAAATCTATTTCATTGGAGCTAAGCATCGGCCAAGCAATGCACGCCTGCCAAAAACGGGACCAGGAAAGCTAATTTTGATGCTCAACCCACCTCTGCTCAGAGCTCTGACCCTCGACTCGACTTTACGAAGCAAAATGGTCCTCCGGGTATTCCTAAAGATCTTCTTGGATTTTCGGGGTTGAGTTGGAGGTTGAGAGTTGTTCCAACACTTTGAAGGAACCTTTGAGCCCTGGTACCAGTGGTTTTGTCAATATTGGTCCTCCGCTTGGACATCTTTGTCAAAGAGAAGGCCCTTCCAAATGATCCTGGCACTGGGCAAACAAGTTTTCCACTGTCTCCGTCTCCTTACCGTTTTGTACCAGGCGAACATGATTCTTCAAGCAAAAAATCAAGAGCTGCAAATGGAGGCAGGGTGAAAACGTGCCCGCAACAGTGATATAGTCGATCTTTGGGCACTACCTTCTGTCAAAGAACTATATAGTGCACTAAACGAAGATTGCAATTGTGAACTATGTGCTCCTCGAGCTACAGCCCTTCTTGGATATCTTTGGTCTTTAACTTATACTGTAAACTCTGAAAACTCTTGTTTGGTCAGGAGTCAGGAGCCAAGGAAGTGTAAACCGAAAAACGGTTCCTTCATACTGCCACAAGAAACACACCATGTTGCACCATTCACCTTACCTCACCCACTCATCCGGACCACCCCCCCCCAAAAAAAGATACAACACCATTCATCCATCTACTTTTGGAGATCCAATTCGGTCGCCTTTCAGCCGCCCGCTCTAGGAAGCGAAAGGCCTCTCCCCAGCAGCCTGGCGGTTGGAGGGAGCGTGGGCATTTGGCTTGGAGTGATGAATCAAAACGTGTTTGAAAAAAAAGAAGAACAACGTACAGTAGTAACACCGCTCTGCCAAGGCCACTGGTGTTTCACCGGTTTGGACCCAACCGACGGGACCCGGTCCCTGTGTATGAAGAGAATCATTGGTAGAATTGGTTGCTTCATGGACCACATCTGAAGTAGAAATGAGATGCACTGAATCCAGAGGGCAACCAGGAGTCCAGAGGGCCACCATGCTGCACTCCAAAAAGAAACGTATCAAAAGCCCGTGAGGCTGGAGAGAGATCAGGAGTACGGAATAGACCAATTAGGACGAATCCACAAAGACCATCTGTCGGTTCTGCGGCCGTTTCATCACGTTTCAGCTTCCGTTTCCACAAAGCTTTGATCCAATATAGTAAGGAATCCATAATCATTCGTAGCAGCATTCAGTTGAAGTATAAATGTTGAAAAAGGCTGTCCGAGTTCTAGTATAGCCATCCACTTCTAATGATTTATGGAAGCTACAATTGAACAGCCGCCTCGATCAAGCGTCGCCGCTTTGTCCAAACGCCTCTCACGGTCTCCTGCTTTTCAGCCACGTCGCGTGTCAAAAAATGTTATGCCAAATGTTTCAGAACAAGTGACTGCCATTCTGATGCTGTTGTGAGCCCACTTCTGGCTTATGTGGTCAATATATATATATATATGTGTGTGTCAAAGCAGCCGAACAAAAAAACGAAAGTCCGGTCGTGGCACGTTACAATTTACACCCACCATAGTTTATATGCAGTATGTAAACCTTGACTAGTGTATTGGTGAAAATTTTTAAGCGGGCGTCCAATCCATTGTAATTATTAGTATTGGTGTACTGTACAAAACTTAGGTATGCGTATATTACACACACACACATATATATATATATAAACAAACATGGACATTCATTTCCAATAGCATCGCCCCAATCGACTGCAACAAAGCGGCATCGCCACTAAAAAAGGACTCCAACACTGACTCAAACATATTATCTCCTGTGAGGAAGGAGCTCGGCATTAAGGGCGGCGGTGATTGGCAAAGAACATAGCCAGGCTCTCCTGCAGTCGGAAAAAATCATGAAACCACTCATGATACACTGATACCTCATTAAAAAGTGAGTCAAATTGGTGCAATTTGGTGCCAAATCTGATGAGACCAACTTGTTGCGGCCACAGCAGCTTCGCACAAGTCTACTGGACAGTCTACTGTTCTTCTCTATGGGATCAGGGCTCCAAACATGTGTCCCTGCACCATTCACGAATGCTAGGTGACACTAGCAGTGATTGCTCAGGACTGCCTATATCATTTCGGTACATCCCGGAGACAAAAAAAAAGCAAACTACCAACTTCAAATAAAAAGCGATATAAGGGAA